TTTTTAATCCGTAACATGCGAGTACGTATGCAAATCGATAGGTCTATTTAGTTACGAAAACACATAAAGATCGGTTGTTTGTGTTTCCGCAAGGAAAGGAGCGAGAGCGTTCGTGTCAGTTACTAGACACCGACCATTTCATTTTATCTTCAACTCGGCGGCTGCTATCAATGGATTTACGGTCTACACTATTAGCACTTTCTTGTACGGGAGTATTGCATGAATGAATGGACTGGAATCGATGAATGAATGGACGGACAACAGCGCAAAGAAGATGACCGTTTTCTTGAGGAATCGCACGTCCGTCCGTCTGCAAAGTAGATCTATGCGAAGGTAGTCCGAACACGTTTTCCACTTTGTTTCCGCGAACAATGGGCAAATATTTAAAGAGAGAAATGACGTCGAAAGAAAAATTCGTGACGTGAAGTGGAAAAGATTTACGGTCATCGATGAAATGCACCGGAAATGCGTGTGCGTGCGAGTGAGAAGATGAAGCTGGCTGAAGGAGATTGGCATGGTTTTGTGGTTGGTGCCTTTTCTGGCGTTTACGGTTTTATTCCCATTGACGGTGGACACCCACGCGGCCGGCCCCAGCTCGCTACACCTTTCACATCTTGAGGCCCCCTTTACCATCATCATCATCATCCTCCGTACAGAACCGTAACGAAGCCCATTCCCAACCATCGACGCTCATTCATTCACAGATTTATTCATTCATTAAATCCACATTCATATTAACCTTACAGAGTGCGCCACAATTTTAACACAACAGTCATTAATCCATCCACCTTAATATTAATAATAAATTAACATTCTAAAGAAATGCTCGAGGCTTCGAATTCTATCCGTAACTAATTCTGCTTGTACACAATAAATTCCCATTTTGACGTGAAAATTACACGTGTAAATTGAATACAAATAATTTATTTGTATGATAAATCCGTTTCCAACGAGAACAAACTATAATTACCTATTAATAATTCACTTAAATGCTATTTGTGTTTACATTTTTAACACTAAGTCAGTTAGCAATTTATATTATACAGATTATGTTTATCTATTTACTAACGTTCTATTAATAATATAAATTGAATGTTTCTTATTTAATTCATATAAACATTTTATGTGAAACGAAAACTATATTATATAAGAAATTAACTGATTTTGAAGATTAACGTTATTCCTGTAGAGTTATTCATTATTCCTACTTGCTATTAACTTGGTAATACCAGACATCATTAATATTCTCAAAGAATGTCTAATGATGTCATTAAAAAAGACGATATATCCGGAATATCCCGGACATACAAGAACACTAACTAACACTACTGCACGAGTTGTTGTTACATTATTATCACTTCTGAATATCTTAAATATTAATTACCTCATTTACGTTATTGTCAATGAAAATGCATGTTGACAATATATCATTTTCTTAATTATTCTTTGAAATTGCAACAACAAAAAAAATTAAATAAAAATCTAGTAGAAAGTTAAGAAAATTGTTGTTTATATACATTTTAATTTTATGTTCTTAACATTCACTAGAAAGTGTACGTGGATGAAATCCTATAAGAAGATTGTTAGGTTGCCAGTACAAAAAAAGCGGTGTTGAAAGGTTTAAGAACGCTGTTGTAAATATTCATTCGAAATGATCTTATTGTTAAATCCATAATCGTGAGAAACATTCATACTTCCTCTACGATTCTCACGCGAAAGCATTGAAATATCTAAGATGACGTTGAGCACACCGTAGTCATATGATGTTTTAATTTACTACTAGGAAAAAAATGGTGTCAGCTTAACATGTTCCTTTGATTTAAGTTGATGATGTCTTTCTTACTAACATTGTGGTCAATTTGTTACATCAAATATTGCCGCCAAACACGCATCAATCTAGTTTGTGACATAAAACTACACATATAAGAATGCACGAGGAATACTAAGTTTCGCAAACCGCTGTTTTAGAATGCAATGAGCGAACAGCTAATAAGAAATTACAATTTCTTCTATTAAATAAGTAACGGACATTACACATCCTTGTGTCAAAGAGTCATGCCGGAATACGAAATCGTGGTAATTCCACATAGGATTTTTCCTGCCGAATTTCTCGATTGGTATTCATCACGTACTCTCCGATTCAATCAATCGCTACAAATGTATGCAAGAGATTATTATTTGAGATTATATGGTTTCTTTTTGAAAAGCGAATGCAAAGCGCGCAAAAACGAGCGTGCTTGTCATAGTTAAAATTGAAGGTGGAAGAGGTGTTCTATCACATGTTATTCTTTCCTTTTTCGGAACAAGAAAAAATTACCAAGAAGCACACACACATCTCTCTTTCAGACAATTTAAATTTTTCTATTATTGTTTTCATTTTTTTTTCTCTCACAATAGACAATAATAGGAATAGGTAAGAAGACATTTGCATCATAAAGGTGTATTTAATTTTTATAGGCAAAAATGCTAATGAATCTTGGAATAATTTAATTAGAAACGAAAGAAAAAATTGGGAATGAGCGGCTTTGTCTATTTCCTTTGTCATACTTAATTGGTTCTTTTAATCTACCTACAAAATACGTAAGGTCACATTACGTTCTCAGATGCATGACCAAACATAATATGCATTCAAGTGTATATATCGCATGAGATCTGTAAATAATTTTAATCCATAATATAATCCGAAATACATAATTATGAAGAATTGTATTTCGAGTTCATAACCTTTTATACGATTACAAATTAATCAATGGTATGTTTAAATTATCGATAATACATTCTAAAGGATGTCGAGGCAATAATCTGCAAAATATGTTGTAATTAGTATAGAATCGTATAATTTGTAAGTGGTGTGGGCGTGCAGTTTAATTAGATATATTAGTGTTTAACTGTGAACGTGCAGTTATTGCATAATTAAAATGTCATAAGAAAGATAATTAAGAGGCGAAGTAGGGCCCTAGGTGGCCTAAGATGAACGTAGCAGATCGTTTGAGGCTGATGGATGCTTTATGTTTTTTGATGATTGTGATTTGTGGACGATGCGTGTTCGATGCATGTGTAGATAGAGTCTGAACAGATGAATGAATGAGTCCTAACTCCCACGCAACGAATGGAGTAGGAGTCGTCGAGTCGCGCGTAGGGCGATCCTTGATGCACTCGCTCACTCACTCTCTCTTTAAAGTATCTCCTCTCTACGTGGTTTCTCTAACTATGTACAACCTGTTGTCGCACCGTCGTCGGTACCTCGCTCGCACAGGATTGGCTTTTACGCAGTTTTCATATTTTGCCCCTTTTATTACAACATTATTTTCTCTTCTCTTCGCTTCGTTTCGATCCTATCTCTCTGGATAGCCTCATTAAAAGTAATCTTTATTCGTTGCAGATGTCTTCAAAGATTGCACTGGTTCCAGTATTCGTTCTGCTGCTGTTACTGGTGAACGTCGAGTCCATACGACATCCGAGGAGCAACTCGATTCTGGATATGATCAACACCAAAGAAGTGGAGCGCCTGATTGCCGAGCGACGAGAGAACGAGGAGCGCAAGGAGAGAACATACCTGATCGAAAACGAGCTGGACGAGACCTACACGCCTCCGGATTATGATTTCGAGTATAAGCGCGTCAACATCGATGAAACCACGGATAATCCTCGGGTCGACGTCGATTTGTTCTTGAAGAGGAACAACCACACGGAGCCGTACACGGCGAACGACCTTCTGGCCGATCTGCGCGGTTACAAAGGCAGGAAAGTGCTCAAGTCCAGCAAGAACGCACTGCTGATTACCAAAAAGGAGTACCTGCAACGGGACTGGTGCAAGACGGAGCCGCTCATCCAAAAGATCAAGGAGGACGGCTGTCTACCACGCACGATCATCAACAAATTCTGCTACGGCCAATGCAATTCGTTCTACATCCCGAAGAACCCGAAGAAAAGGAACAAGCGGAAGTACAGTTCCGAAACGGAGGACGAGGATCTGAACGGACCAGCGTTCAAGTCGTGCGGCTTCTGCAAACCGAAGAAGTTCACCTGGATCACGGTCACGTTGAGGTGTCCCAACAGCACGCCGCGCTTTCGCAAGAAACGCATCCAGAGGATCAAGCAATGCAAATGCATAGCCGCGGATCTGGATTGAGTTCTCGCGTGCTACATCGCAAGGGAGTTCGATTCAGTTTTATAATTTCATGAGTTCCGATTTCAGCGACGCCGGCATCATTAAAGCACTTGACTTTTATTACATCTTTCAAGAGGCACACTCGTCTCCAATCCGAGGCCTGTGGAAATATCGGGCCACTACTCCTTCTTCTTCTCTATTTCTTTTTTTTCCTTATTATTATTATTATTACGATTATTTAATGTAATTTTAGGCGTGCTTCTAGTCCCAAACATATTTAATACTAACGCGGATCTATTTGTACGATCAACCACACAGACATTCCTTTAATTTATATATGTACATGATATGATATAGTTTTTAATTATTTCGTTGATTTTATTTTTTTTTGCATTTGCACTTATTGGCCTGATGCAATAATATTGTACGAACGTATGCAGTTTGTGTGCATGTGAGAGGTTGGGTGCAACAACCTTTGTAACATTTCATCAATTATCTTTGATGTTTCAAGCAAGCATTTAAATACAGCACGAGATATTGAATTGTCAAAATTTGTACGAGGAGAATAAACGCGCTTCGGTTACATAAACGATAATCACGGAATGTGCGTGTGTATGTTTGTATGCGCTAATGTGTTTAATGAAGAGATTTTCGAGACGGCCGTTTTGTTTTTCGATGTGGGCCGCGAAATAATAAAATTTATAAATAGAAATTCGCATTAATGAGCTGTGTGTATACCCACTAAGTCGGTGTAGGCTCAACGGCGCCGACTCTGCTCATGTTTTTATGCAGTGACCCGACCAACAATAAACACACACACACACATGCACATTCAGAGAATACAATTTGTTTTGCTTCTTGCATCTTCCAACTAATTAATTTTTCTAATTTAAACTTTAAAAAAAAAGAACACAATAATTCAACGGCTGCAAAGTATTGTAACAATAGTAAACTAATATCTTTACTTAATCATGAATTCATGTTTTGAAGCTTGTTACGTTTTCATTACTTACTTTTTTTGTTAATTTCTTATTACGCGTTGTTAATCAATCAAATAACGAATATCCTCTAAACTCTTAAAATAGATAAACAAGTCCAAGTTCCTATTAATATTTAGTGTACCTGTTTGTATGTTTAATTTTAATTTAGATTTTCACCTTCGATTGATTATCTTTTCAGATCTACCTAATCAACGTGTATAAAAGGATCTGAGAGTGGAGGCGTTTAGCGTTAATTGAAACGGTTCCCTCACAATCGTTGACACGATCTTCGTCGTATTTTCACCCAATTGTAATTGCGCACGTTGTTTCTGTTTAAATCAATATTTTTTTTCTCTCCCCGTTAATTTTTACGTAATTGCCTCTGAACGCCTCCTGCTTGTATCTACGTAGGTTTAGTAAACGTAAGGAATCAAATTAATTAGGCATCGTTTAAGTTTCAAATGTATAAACATTTGTGGATTTTTCTGGTATCTGCGAATACGAGAATACTGAAGCCCACATCCACACACACAGCTTTATATGGCTATGAAGATAATTATTTCTTTTATATGCACACGAGTTTTCTCTCCACCTTCCCTCTCTTCACATACTTTCCCATATTTGTACGTCTTCTGGTTTCTCTTATGCCTGAATAGAATGTATCTATCTTAATGTAGACTCATCTTTACATGTATTTACTACAAACACGAAATTAATTAATGTACTTAATATTTAATGTTTATTTTTATGTTTGTATATGTAGAAATTATTTATAGATACAATAAATTAATTGAATACAAATATTTTATTCTTCATTTCTCCTAAATTTAATTAACTACTTACTCTTTCATAAAATACAAAATTAAATGAGAATATTTTAAATGGAAGAGCAAATATAAGATAAGTATACACTTTTATTATATTTTTGTATCGGTTATATAAATTATTGAATTGATTTGATACATTTTAATGTTCATTTACAAGAAGTATTGTGAAAACTTTCGAAAATAATATATCTTCTTTGTTACAAGTTCTGGCTAATAAATAAGATCATCCAGTTAATTTGCATCAAGTGTAATAGCATATGAACTTCAATTGTTTTCCTTAACATGAGTTTGCTTTTATAAATAGTAATTTAGTCAATCAATCAAATTTATATTTTGAGTATGTTATGGCAGACAAAGACGTATTGATTTCCAATGATCTCATAGATCATCATTAAAGCAAAACAAAGAAGATGTGGGTGTAATCCCATAAAAGACTAATAGCTAGTTATTTTAAATACAATACTGTTGATGATATGGAATACTTTAATAATTTCCATATTCAAAATTATTGATGACTTATTGCTATTTTCTACAATTATCAAAATAAAATTCAAAACATATATAGTTGTTTACTCAATCTAATAGTAACAGAAAATGTTGATTCTGTGGAGATTTAGAAATCTTTGTAAGCAACGAATAAAATGTTAACAAAGGTGTCTTTGGAAACGTTTCAATTTTGTTTTAATGATAGGCAATTGTTAAATAAAGTTTTCTTAAGATACTTATTGTTAATACTAATTTTAATTGCTATAAATTTTATTAATAAGTAAAGAAATCTTTAAGTTTACACGTCTCAAATGTTAATTCTTTCATATTGATCAAGACTATACAATAGTAGTATCGAAATAATAAAGGTACCGTTCGTATAAATTGATTTTTAAACCAAAAATAAAATATTACATCATTACACTGAATCATCGTCGAATGTATCAGAATTTCTTAAGTACTTGATAACATCGTTTTCTCTGCCAAAATACAATGTATAAAAAACAATATATGCAAACATTCAAATATATTTTATGATTACTAAACAAGAATACGTAGAATATTGAAATGGAGATGCGATTTAAATGTATGTGTTTTTGGCGATAGAAAAGGGAAAGATATTTGCGTTTCGGGTGCGATACCCACAATAAATTCAGAGGCTCTTCGGTAAACAGAGTGGTGGACCATTTAACTTTTTCATCCGAGCTGCTCCGGCTAACCATTATTGAGATAGTAAATAATATCAGATATTTTTGCCAAAACCGCGTTTTTGAAATGTAAATCCGCACGGTTGTATACTTCGCGAGTAATAAATCCTGAAGGGGGAAGCGTTTATTCCCGCCGCCCCGTCTCATATCTCCTTTCTTTTCGAATACTAGTTTTTCTTCTGGTATGTGTACGTACGTACGTACATCTGAGGCCCCGGGGGTGTTTTGTGCAGACGGGCTTCGTTATCAAAGTTTCGCATTAGTCCCTGGGCTTTTGGCAAACACGTGGAGCCAGACGGTCGACTCCAGGACGAGACTCCTAGGAGTTATCGACATCCAGACAACAAATCAAACCGGCTCCAACGTACAAATGGAAAGGAGGGAGACGAGACTAGTCTGTCTTTATGCGCCTCTCCTCCTCCTCCACCTTATAGATGGCAACATTCCATCGAATATAATTTTCACCTAGTTTGCAAACTACCCACAAATCTATACAGTGGAAAATGTGAATTTCCAAATTCAGCACGGAAAGGTTGTAACCTTCCAAACTTGTTTTTTTTTCTTTTAGTGTCTACCGCATGGACACATATCGCGGACAAAGTTTGTCCGTTTATTCACATAAATCTTCGAGCTTAAATGTTATATCGTGTCGCGGGAAATTGACCAGAAAATACCAACAGACTTCTCTTGTGAACTTTAACCGCGTCTCGTTGTTCACTGGGCCATGCGAAAATTTTGCGATCCATCCATCACCGAATTCGTAGATATACACTTTAAGCTCTTCATAATCGAATCCGCGAAAGAGTGAGCGTTTGCGTGGGACTTTTCTAATTTGCATTTGTGCAAACATTTAAAACTATTTAAAACCGAAGTGGATTAGTTTTCAATATTTAGAAAATACATGTATTCTTTTTTTTTTATTAATACCGCTTACGCAAATGGGATGAGGATGAGTGGATGGATCGAAAATAAAACAGCTCAGTTACTTTTGCATCAAATACCATTAAATACCATTCATATATATATTGAAGAGAATGTGTATATACGTCATATTCCCATAAGTTTAAATTTAACACATACATAGTTACTACCAGAAGCAGAGAGATACATTGTTGAAATGGTTAACCACATCAACTTACATATATTAGTACANNNTTGTAATCATTCGAAATGTCATTCCTTGCTCGTAACGCTTGTATTCGTTACTAGTTTACTCCACTTAATAAGCTTAAGTCGCTTAGATTTGAGGATTTGAGGATCTGATTGTTACATTATCTCTTTATAAATAGTTTAAGAGGGAATTCACAATGCACAGACTGATTCCGTTCGGCGACGCGGAAAACCGGTGGGAACATCCGATGCAACTATTATTCCATAGGAAGTTCCAAAAGAAAAGGTGAGGTGATGGCCGATTTTCCGGACGCTTTTTGCGGAAACGTAGGGCCGTCAATGTGCATTGTAAGTTCAGACTTGATATGTTCATGATTCGACCGGCTGTTGCAACTCGAGAACCATTGAAGGGAAAACTTGGGGAAAACTGCTACCATTTTAATTGTTCCATTTCAATGCTTCTGAGGGGTCTCTCAGGTTTGCATCATCGAAGTTGTTCATAGTCGTTTGGCTGATTCTCTTAAGAGAAATGCTGTTACTTTTTTTAAAAGTATGGGGCCATATCCATTGGTTTTGTTTCAATATTGTTTAGTTATCGAGTCCATATTTAGAGTCATATTATTATTATTTTTTTTTTTAAATCCACACATAAAGCCGCTATCAATTAATATTGGAATCCTAACAAAGCTGGGTGCACCACATCGCGCTACAGGAATTTGAGATATATATGGTGAATAGTCGTAGTCCATGTCCGAAGCGAAAATTGTCGTCGTCGTCATCCAGACCAGAAGGTCTTCCAAACCGATCCATTATTTAGTAGTAAACATTGTTACCTTTCTTCGCGGCAACTGGTAAACGTTCACCAGTCAAAAATGGATTGATACGCTCACTCTTCTTAAAGTTGTTAAACTTTTTAGCAACCAAATTTTTGTGCTGAAGACTTGGATCAACCTGTTGTTAACAGTTGAATGTAATAAAACAATTCACTGTAAATAGGAAAATGTCATTACCTGAATGGAATGTTGAAGAAATCTGTTGAATTCCAGTTCGTTCAATGCATCCATTGCATCTAAAGCGTCATTAGTATCCTGCATTACACCACTTGGACAATCGAACATATGCTCGCTATCACACATGCAATCCTGCGCAGCCTGGTATTTTCGGCTGAACGTAGCGGTGTTCTCAAACTTCTCCAAACATCCATTTTCCGCTAGAATGTATCGATTTTATATATATATATATGATCAGAAAATAATTTCACTTCCTCTTACCCGAGTAACCGATTGGGCATGGATTGGGCGGATTGCAATATGCTGGCAGAGTTGCATCAGTTTTTATCTCCTGACGATTCTTGTAGGTCCCTTCCGGTTTCAACCGCTGTTTCCCTTCGCCTGCTCCACCAGACACGTACTGGTTGCCCCACAGGCTGCTGTGTTGCAAAAACTCTTGATCTCTGAGACTCGGATGGAGGTTCGGCTCGAGCGTATCATAATCCAACGGATACAGCTGTTCCTCTTCTTCCAATTCCTTCGCGAGGGAACGAGAACCTAACGGTAATCTTCCTTCGGGGAAATCGAGATAGGAATTATCGAAATCCTTGGACATGCGACTCATCACATCACGAAGTAAATCGGATGTAAAGTAATGCTCCTAAATTCATAATTATTAGTTATATTCGCAGAAGTTGGATTTATTACGATATACCTTTGTGGTATAGCCGTAGGTCCCTATGGCGAAAGCCAACACGAAAATTAAAGCGCACTTCATGTTTTATTCGGACCTATTAAGACAAAAGAAAAGTTAATAAATCAACAAGTACGTATTTATATGGTGAACGCTGAAATATTTGGGTGTGGTTTGAAATACAATTCTCAACGTCTTCTTCATTATTGGAATAGTAAATGGAGTATCGATAGATAGTGAAGTAAAAATAGTTGCAATAAAAATAATAAATAAGTGTAACAGCGAATAGCACTTACCCTTTCGGGTCGTCTCACATGAGTGGGACACTTGTAACGCGTTTGGAATCAATGGAGGTATTGCGCAGCACACGTCACTGAGGGCATCGCGACGCCTAGTAACATCAAGAAATCAATAACACGGGCGAAACCAATAATAAACGGGAAGGATTAAAACCAGCGAGAAGGAAAATCACATCAGAATCAAATTAATGTAAATCTGAACAAAATGTGCCAATGAAACAGTTTAATTTATTAACATCGTTTCTTACAAATGTATGTTTACAACAGTTGTAGCATAAACGGCAAATTGAAGCATTTCCTACCGTTACCAAAATATGCGTAACCATAAATAGGTGTACCGATCTTATGGTACAACATGAAACCTGTCCAATAGAGGGACTGTACGACTACGTATATGCCTCCCGGCGAAATCTGTGTAACAAAGCAACCCTCGGGAACGTCCTCGTCGGCGCAATCCAGGAAATCAATTGCGTAATTGTAATCATTTCTCGTTAATAAATTGGTATTCCATTTATTCCTCGCTTTGCGGTAATGCAGAAACGATTTTACTTCCATCGCTTCTAAATAGCTCAGTCCTTCGAAACTTAAATTTTCCACGACCACGCCATCCGGTCGTTGGAATAAAACACCTCTAGGCACGACGACGGCTTCTTCGTTAATCAAATGAATAGCCGCGGCCAATCTGTCCTCCTCCTTCAGCTGTCGGACTTGTGGTGCCTTCAACTTCTCACCGATTGAAATCTCATCTTTTTCTATTAGGATATCTACGACGAGCGCTGGGTCCCCTTGAAACTTACTCGTGCACAGAGGTGTAAGAAGCAACGCTTTATCTGTAGGTCTGGGCAGCAGGCCCCAATCTCTGCAGTTTGTGCTGTAATAGAAAACTCTGTTCAGAAGAACGTCGTTCGTGTATCCGTAAGCCACGTAATAGTCCTTCTCGTGTCCAAAAATGCGTCCCCAGAAAAAGGCTTTCCGAAAGTGATTTTCATTTTGAAGTAATAATAAGGAATTGTATAGAGTCAGGCTCTCTTCCGTGGATAACACCAATCCCAATTGCCCGCACGTATCCAAAGTGTTTAACAAAGAATCTATATCCATACTATATACAATTCTGGCAAATATATTTTTTTATTTTCATTCAACTAACTGACACAAGTCAACGGCTACTTGCCAAATTTTTAGTTTTATTTAATAATTATTAAATATATTGTACAAACATAGGTGGGGTTCAGCCCCTAAGACCCATATAGATGAGCCGCACCTGGACACGCTTAATAGGACTAATAAGACATATAATTACAGAAAGCAATAAATCTACAAGTTTAATTTACAATTCTATACGCAAATATATTTGTATGTTTCAGTTAAGTAATCAAAAGGATTTAGTTGTTGCTATAAATAAAGGTATGCAACTTATTAACCATCAGAAACTTTTTAAAAGTTAACGGTCCGGCCCTGTTACCTTAAAAAAAAATTCAGATTTCAATTATGTACTAATTATGTTAGTCCTAAGAAATAAAAATATTTTTAATGCGAAATTAATCAAAAATAAAATAAATTTAAATTGAATAATCCGTTTTAAGACCTTTAAATTTAAAGACAGCTGGCTCCATCTGCACGCTGAAGCCATTGATGATAAGTCAGAGTGGTCAACAAACAACAATTCCGTTGTTTTTTCTTTCAGTTTTAACCAGATTTAAGGTTGAAGACACCCGGCAAATTATTTCTTGGGAGATTCGTTTAGTATTGAAATTACTTGTATAAAATGTCTGAAAACGAGGCAGGAGGAAGTGCAGCAGCGATCGAGGGAAACGAAAATGAAGAGGTTTGGGCTATAAGCGATATATTAAATGGCGAAGAGAAGGTTATGGAAGAAGTGGCCGCCGTTCTTGGAGACACTGACGATATCAACTGTTCGTATGATAATGTAATATATGTTCCAAAATCAATTTGAATACATTTCTAATGTTTGTTTTAACAAATAATTTTCTTCAGGGCTACATGAAACGTCAACCATTGTATGCTTGTTTGACTTGCATTGTAGAAGCAAAAGAGGATTTCACAAAATCAGCCGGAGTTTGTTTGGCATGCTCGTATCATTGTCATGATGGTCATAATCTTATTGAGCTGTATACGAAAAGGAAATTTCGTTGTGATTGTGGAAACAAAAGGTTTCCAAACGGGTGTAATCTGCAACCAAGTAAAACTGACTTCAATGAGGATAATTCGTATAATCAAAACTTTAGTGGCTTGTATTGCACTTGCTCAACAATATACCCAAACCCTGAAGATCCCATAGAGGATGAAATGGCTCAATGTATCCTCTGTGAAGACTGGTATCATTACAGACATTTAGGAGCCTCTGTGCCTGTAAACTATGCTGAAATGATATGTGAAAGATGTATTGAAAAACATGATTTCCTTTTACATTACGATGGTTTAACAATTACCAAAGTCGAGAAAACTGATGAGTCTGAAGCAGCTGACATTTCTGTTGAGAGTCAGGATGCTGTAAAGTTGGAAGATAATGGAAAGGATCTGGATGAAGGTAAGCAAAACTTGTAACATTCCTCTTGTTTTACTCATTATCTTTTCTATTTTAGTTGAGTTGAAAACTGAAGGTAGCTGCTGCAAACCCAAGACCAAGTCCACTGTTGTATCAACCAAGTTTATGGAAAATGAAGATTGGCGCAACAAACTGTGCAAGTGTCCCACTTGCATGGACATGTACAAAGAGGAACAGGTAGAGTTTTTATTGGATGAAGAGGATACTGTGCAATTCTACGAGGAAAAGGGTAAAGTCAAGATGCAGCAGATGAAAGATCTAGCTGTGGATACGGAACAGAAAATGTTGAACTCAATGGACAGAGTTAATTTAATCGAGCTTCTCGCTGGATACAATGATTTTAAGGAGCAGCTGGGTGAATACTTGAAGAAATTTGCTGAAAACAAGAAAGTTATTCGAGAGGAGGACATTAAGGAATTCTTTTCTAAACTGAAATCCAGAAAGAAGCAGAAAACTGAGATGCCATACTATTGCAGATGAATTAAATGGAAACAGTATTATATAGATTTATAGTAATGGGTAACTAGATAGATATTGCTTTTGGTTATTTCTTCATTCAAAATTGATCATTCAGTTATTAATTAATGAGTCAATCTGTGACCAAACTATTTTATATGTAGAATTCGAAAATGTACTCTAGTTGAAATAATAATAATAAATATGAAATCTATAGAGCCTATTTATAATATGATATGATTTAATAATCTTTCTTTAGACCCTAACGTATCTTAGTGATTATTCTTTGTAATAATTAGCTGAAGGTTTAAATATCAAGTAAATAAATTCTTGTTGGAATTCAAACGTCGCGCTAAATGTAATTGGTTTTAATCCGAGAGAGGTCGCCGCTGGTCTTTTGACATTTACCTACACTAATTTAGTATATTATGGTGTAAGGAAATTGGTGCTGCGTAGTGCTGCTGCTCGTAGTGTTATTGTGTATTCCGATCTGCGACATTTAGACTGAAAACAAAGGAATTAAAGGTCGTGCGAGAGAGAGTTCCAGCGTTAGGTGTGTGCGTGCACTGGGCAAGATGAGCACGATGTGAAAGGGTTTAAAGATCGCCAAGTATTGGAAGAAAACAGACTGCAAAGTGAGTAGTAGTAGTAGTAGTTGTTGTAAGTAAGGCTCTGCGAAACAGATCGTTAAAACGGTATTCCACTTTTTTTTTGACATGTGCCTTAGATCTTTATAGTTGATCCTCGCTCTCGCTAATTTGTTTGTTAGAGGGAGTCGCGAAAAATCCTCAGTTGAGTAGACGCGTTTTCCGTCTGTCGCGGAAGTCCAATTTGCAAAGTTGGACTTTACAGCGGGGGCGACAAAAAGAGGAGAGCGGATCATATACTACATACATACATACATACATATACACGATATCGATTCGTTTATGTGTCGAGTAAAGAATGTCACTCGTTGTAGCGAAGAAACGAATCATCTGACACGGATATTTGTGTTTTTCTAGGATACCCGAGGAGTGCTGCTTCGGTGTTCTCTTGCCACGGAACGTGAATTTCTTATAACCAAAACGGTGAGTTTACATTTTCTGATGCAACCCACCTAGGTTACGATAATCATTCATTCCTTCCTACAAGACATTGTCAAATCCTCTCCTTTATTTTCAATATTATGGAGTTAAATCAAGAACATCCATTTTACACATAAAAATATACATATATAGAAAAGAAGGCTAAACAAAAAAAATAAAATGAAACGGCCACTAGGAAGTAAGGGTACATTTTACCCAAAGTCACTGCGGAATCTGTTTTTGTTGAGACTCGATCGTGAACTTTGTTATCGGTAAAAATAAACCAAAATATAAATAACTCGCGAGAGTGAAGCGAAAAAAAATAACTCGAGAATATTCCTTAATTACCTGCAAAGCAGTTAGTAGTACTGTTGGTTTACGTTGAGCGCTGCGAAATGTGTTTATCGTTAAATCACGTTTCATGTTTGTATGCAACATTAGAAAACGCATCGGAATATCGCAATACAATTTACGGCTTTTGTACGTTCTAAATAAATATTTATTATTATAATTTACCTCTTTAGATGTACTCAAGAACCAACAAAGTGTGTCGAGAATAATTCTCAAAACATTTAATCAAAGTGACACTTTCTTTTAAAAATTTCCGATTTTTGCAAACGATGATCTCTTGAAATTAACCAGTTTTATAATATTGAAATCAATAATACAAGTATAGTTTGTATGTTATTATAAAAAGTGCAGAATGTCGATCATGTAATATAATGCAATATTGAGCAAAATATTTTATAATTATTGTATAGTGAATCATCTTTTTTATTATTCAAATAGAGTATGAATTACTATAGTTTTACAAATGGTCATTTCAATGTAAATTTAACATCACGTTTGACATTAGGTAGGTGGATTATGATGATTTGAACATTAATAATTACTTAAATCTAGTGGTTTGCAACGCTTCAGCCTGTTTGTGGTTTCACTGTTGTCGAGTAGACCAATAGCCAGAACATATTAGAGTAATACCAGTGTCTTAATTACATTTCGGTCGAGACTCTGCAGTTTTCATTGTATATCAGAATAATCCAATATGCAAATGTATAAAGTCAAGGACCTTGGTTAAAAATATCTTAAATGTATTCTCGTCGCCAAATTCATCAAATATAACATCGTTACTCAATTGTGTTTACAATAATTTGCAATAAGAATAATCGACAAAAGCTAATTGTATAAAAATATATATATTTTTTTACAATTCACCTAAATACATATTATATTGTATTAAGTTTCATACTATAAAAGATATGTTTATAAAAATATGTGTTACTCATTTATAACTAAAATGTTATCCACTATACCTAAATGCTTCATGTATCATTCATTTATTGAATGCGTTTGTTTTTGTCTTGTTCGTAAATATTTATATATGCAACTGAACTGAACGTTCTAGATCATTCTTTAATGATTGTTTACCATTCTTAACTTATTCTGTTTTCCTTACTGAATGCGGCAGAATTGTTTTGCACCAGACTAAACAAAATATTTTGCACCGCACAAATAGTATGTATCTACGGATAATTTTAATCGATTTACGACTTTGTAGATCATTTATATTTCATTCAAGCCATTAATTTTTCAAAAAGAAATGAAATGTGTGGTGTGGAGTGTTCTTAAATTATTCTTTGGATACGTGAATGGAAACGTTTTGAAATAGTAACGGTGTGGAGACTTCATTTGATTATCTCAAGTTTAGGTTGATGCAACCCAATTTTCATTCATTTAATTGCTTTTTTGAACTTATGAATTCTAGATTATATATCTGAATTTCTTTTAAATATGTGTGATGTTAAGCAAACAACAAATTTAATTTCAATAAGTTGATCTAGTAAATCAACGATCGTTAATTCTTTGTAGAGTAACGTATATGTTATTACCATAAATATTAAGGACTTCCTCGAGACTACAACGAGTCGACCGTCACTAATGAATTGTCTAGGAGCAACATGCTAGGCCACAAGGACGTTATTAGGTTCAATGCAAACTCACATCTGTTTATCACTCAATGTGATTCATGTAATTCCTTTTAGTCCAGCTACCCTTTCTGTCTTCCATATGTTATAACTTGTTAAATTCAATAATTTAAAATGTCCAATTGATAGAGATTGCATGCACTCATTTAATTGGCAGTATCGACTTTATCTTATCATGTTCAATTCTGCTACAAAAGCATGAATATTTGGTTCATTAATTACAATAAATCATATGAAAAGTTTTATACTTAATAAATATACACGTGGATCATCAAGTAAATTATGTAATTATAAAAAAAATATTGGAGTTCTTTGCAAGAGAGAAAGGATGCAAGGGATGTTTAAGATATGTTTATATTTAGATACTAAAAATAGAATAAAAAACGTGAAATCAAAGTAAGGGAAATAAATGTGAAAAAGGAATGTTTATAAAATATTTAAATTGTAACAACTATTAACAACAGGATATCTAAAATTAGAAATAATCTTTGGACGTTAAATTTTGGCTACTCAAGCTTATAGTATACATTTGGTATTATTTTTAATAGACTTGATGGATCACGCAGAAACCTCATGATAAACATTAATTTGCTTTATTAGCAAAATATTGACAATGAACAATAATTATTTGTAAACATGTGTAACAATATTTATACAATCCTGGAAAAAAAATACATCTTTTATTTTTATCCGCATTTGCCCCACGGGCCGTTAAGGGACGATGGGCCATCTGCCATCACACAAAATACATTTTTGTAGTTCAAATATAAATGTTGTACTTTTGATTTTGTATTCTCGGAAGGTTGGTTGGTTATTGCGAAGCGGCTAAGAATGGTCAAAAAAATACAATTGGTGAAATTTTCTTGTGTTTCTTTCCTAGGCAAAATGAAATCTTTTAAAGCTTTCAATTTTCACGTAAATTACAATTATCAAAGTTCAAGTAAACAAATATGAATTATGGATGATTTAAATATTCTTATTTCATAAACGTTGAATTGCAATATAATAAACATTGAATGCTGCGAATCTTGCATATAATAGAACACATACACACATAATTTTTTTTACCGTGAGTAATAGTTTAATAACATTGACCACATTCTATTTCACAACTTGTATGATTATTGTTTATACTTGCATTCCCAAACCTATGGTCAATTCTATATGAATTATAAACATTATACTCATAATATTTGAAAGAAATGTTTTAACTACATTTGTATCTTTTCCTACAAACTGGGTACAGGTAATTTTCACCTTAAATTTAATATACTGTTTACCGGTAATCACAAAAGTATTGACAGGTAGAAACTGGTATATATTTAGGAGGGGATGGGGGGTTCTGTCTACATTTAGGTTTTAAAATAAGGGAGAAATATTACTGCTGAAGTGCAATAACTTGTAACAGTCAGTGAGTGCTCTGAGGTCGTGTCGTGCAGACGTTTCTTGACTGATTTGTTTATTTGTTTTCCTTTATGTGATATAATATTTGTATATAAATACATACAGTGTAGTGTAATTTCGACTAGTAACCCAGATAAATGTTTCACATCAGCCGTTAATATAAAGGTATTTATTTTTGTTAAGTATTGCGAAATGCATGTAAATAGTTAAGGATGATTTTTCCAAATAACAGAAATCTGTGTTAAGGAAAATAAAAATGAACAAATCTGTTTTTTTAAAGTAAAATCATGCACCTTTTAGCAACTTACAGTTTTATAAAGCCTCGAAAGACCCTTAGTTAGCATTGTAATTTTATCCCCTTCTGATATTTTTAGAGGGTCCAGTACTCTGCAAACCCTCAAGGTTACTGGTCCAATTTAAAAATGCAATCAATTATATATTGAATGTAAATCCATAATCAATCATTACTAATGTTTATTTCTTTGTTATTCTAGGATATTGACAGCCAAACGACGATTTGAGTGTCTTAGGACACCCAACCATCCACAAAGGTGAGTCTATTGCAAAAAATAAAATTAGTATAATAGAAGATCTAGATTTCACAACATGCGACACATTTTATCGATTAAAAATTCCATTCGTAACGTTTGTAAATTCGATGTACAATTATCGTTTATGCGCAAATGACCGAATGGCAATTAGTTGAGAAATGAGGTTTGTTGTGGAAGCCTTTGCATTTGCGAGAGATCAAGGAAATGGACGAAACGGCGCTTCCGCAATGCGTCAAAATGTAATCAATCGTTGTAAAAGGAAATTGCATCGATGAAAACAATTTGATGGTCGACCTTCTCTTTCTTTCGCTCTCTGTTTACTATGCTGTAGATATATTCGCTTTCGTGTTTATAAATAACAAAAATGATTTCACGTGAACATCATGTTGTTTTCGTTTCTCCATATATGCGCGGCCATTCACACACATTCCGTGGAAAACAAACATTGTTCGCGAGCAAATAAGCGACTTCTGTCTACTAAATAGCATTTCAGATTTTCCTATCGTGTATTTAGATTATTATATCTACCTGTGCACCAAAGCAAGATATTAATAAATACGTTGAACGGCGCAAGGTAAATCGCTTTTTGGCAATCGAAACCTTGCTCCGTTCCAAGGCTGAATTCGTTTCCTCGTTCAGAATGGATTATACATTATAGTAGATACCAAGTCCGTATGCTCGAGCAATCAATAGAGGCCAATTGAAATAAATTGTGATTGAAGGGACAATGACTCGTTTAGTTTAAAGGAGACCCTAAAACCGCATCATTTCCATTTACTTGGTTGCAGCAAGCGAGCGAGACGGTTCAGCCGCGAGGTCATCGCACCAACGAAAAGAGATTTTTAACATTTTATTATAAAGCTTGGTGCTGGTGAATCTAGAGAGAGAGAGAGAGAGAGAGAGCGTACCGTTACTTGGAGCGAAGTGCTCCAAGACCAGCAACGTATGAATTGTCGAGCGAAATAAGAAATTGCTGCTCTGCAACATAGTTATTCAATTAGATATATCCAGGTTGCAGACTATCATCAGCCTTATTTTACCTTCGCCAACATAAATTCGATTCCATAAACTGAAGTACGCCAGTTAATTAGAATTGCAGTTCACCTATCCTTATCTCCGCTCGAGTCACATTCTGTTTGAGCATAATTTATGTTTCTGGCCACGGTTTTCAGTTCTCACAGAAATTTAAACAGTTACGTACACGGTGCTGTGAGCACCGCCGAAACGTTTTCTGCGTGCTCGGAATGCCCCGAGTGGCTATTTTCGTATGGTTCAAGAAAAGAAATAACAACAAATGCGAATGTGTCTGTATATGCTTGGGTGATGGAAGGTGGCGGTCGTTTTTTGTCAAAATTTATATGCCCACGATTCCACACAGCACACCACACAAAGAGCCAAACGAGCCATTGCCAAAATGCTGCACGCTGTTTAAATTTAAGCCACCTGATGTAACTGGCATTGGCTCTCGTCCCTAAATTATTTTCGATTCTCCGCGTTTGTTTGCAAACTATGAAATGTTTACTTCCAATAAAGTAATCATGGAATTATACATAGACGCGCAGCTGTGATAAACTCGAGCTCCATATTGCATCGGCCGCTGTCATTACGAAGCACTTGGAAATGTGCGCTATCTTTTCCATTATAATTATTACTAGAAACAGCCTGTACACTATCATAACTGTATCGGTGATTCAATTACATAGCTAATATTGAATAATTTAGTAATCATTTCTTTAATGATTAAAATAAAAATAAGCTTTAGATTATGTAAATACTAATATTTGTTTAGAAATTACTGTTGAGTTGCAACAGTATGAATTAACAATTTATAGTCAAATGTTGAAATTGCAATTATAATAAACAAATACATTTTTTTATGTGAAAGTTAGCTATTGTTACAATATAGATGGAACGGAATTAGATGGGAAGGTGAAAATGTACTTTAACAGCACATCGCATGTCCAACAAAGTGCTTTTCTTGTACGCCACCCGCAAACAAAACCATTTCAATGCGTAGACTTTCGCCCATATACTTTCACTAATAATTAATTAAAAATAAGAAAATGCCTGAACATGGGAATTATGATTGAAGATATCCGATGGAGCGCCCCAAAAAAACTACTTTCTTATTTCGTAATCACCAAAGGTTTGTCAGATTTCTGCTGTTCGTACTGGTGTGTGTATTATACAATACTACCATTGCACTGTAATCAGCGTCACCTTGGAACCGTTCCATTGTTGCACGCGAGCCGACGTTTAATTAATAAGTTAATTGAAGTAAGTCAGTTGAATGCATTTGCAGGCCGAAGACGGAGCGCGAAATCCTTTCACTATCTCTGCAAAAGCAGTCATGTTACGCAATTTAGCGTACCAGTCCAGAATATCCACTTGACTTGCAATTGTTGTCAATACCTCGTCTATCTATAAATTATGATATTATCATTTTCTAGACATGTTTTTGTTATTGTAAACGAATGAGGTGTAAATAAAACATCCGCGAGCTTCTATTTCCATGCATTACTCATGCACATTCATCGAAGTCAAATTTTTCCATTCTTGAGACAATCTTGAGTCATCTTTTCAAACCCCGATATGCACCTTTTTTTTCTACTCTTATTCAGGTAACAAAAATGTTATTTGCAGTATTAATGTCTGGGTGCACTTCATATTAATCAGTACAGTACTACACTTTATGAGAACATCTTGTAAATGTCTTTAATTTTTTAATGCTCCACAATGTGGGCGAATATTATTTCCGAACTCTTCTTGCAATATGCACTCCCATTTTTTTTCTCTCTCTCTCTCTCGCTGCCAACGCATGTGAAAAGCGCTGATGCAACCATTTTCATTTCGCTTAAACAGAAATAGAAAACTGTTCCAAGGTGTGTTATCTGAAAATTCCTCAATGAATGAACACTGGTTTGTGAGAATAGTCAACAGAATTGCTGGCTGTTTATTACCAGTAATTACTTTTGAATTAATTTGATTTGATGTAAATTGTATTATAAAATATATAATTTTAGTCGACCTTGTTACTAGGACAATCATTGAGAAACACTGGTATGTGAATCATGCTGGTAAATAAAGATTTGCACGCGAACTTTAGTTCTTTGTTTCGGAGCTTTACATGTATTGGGTTCCACCCACGTCTCTGTCATACAAACACATTCACTCAAGACACAATCAGTTTTCAATTAAGGTTGAATCCGTTTCAAGGCGATAAACTCACCCACAAAATTATATATTCACTCACTACATAAACGACATTACAGCTTCACCATATTACTCAGGTGTTTATTGATTTATTTGCAGTTATATAAAAAAAAATATTAAAAAGACTGTAAACGTTTGATTGTTTTTTTTTTGTTTTAAAGTAGGCTCGGTAACAAGAATTTTATTTTCATAAGTACTGCGAAACAAAATACAGCAGACTTTTACATAAATCAAACAATTACAACATATAATTGACAATATTGAAAACGTAAATTAACATGGAGATACTAATTAAGAAAATCAATAAAAGAAATACGCGCATGGTAGAAAGAACGTTGAAAAAAGAATTACATTATTAAAATGTAAATGTTTTTTTGTTTGTTTTCAGATGGCTGAACCTGATCCTGAGACGCTGCTAGAGTGGCTGAGCAGCGGCTTAGGGGATGAACGGGACATGCAGTTAATTGCACTAGAACAACTATGTATGTTGTTATTGATGTCCGACAACGTAGATAGATGTTTTGAAAGGTTAGTTTATGTTTTTTAGCCTTTTTTTTTACAATCAATAAATAATTATAAGTTACAATCAATAGTCGATCAATAGCTTGCTTATTATCCGTGTTTTTCAACGTATTTATTATTTAAACATGCGACCATTTAAAAAAGGAACTTCTATTGATTGGTACAACATGAAACTATTGTAACAGAGAGTCATTGCAATGATGAAAAATTTTAATTTTCAGTTGTCCACCCCGCACATTTTTGCCAGCGCTTTGCAGAATATTCTTGGACGAACAGGCACCAGAAAATGTCTTGGAAGTAACAGCTCGTGCAATTACCTATTATTTGGACGTATCAGCAGAATGCACACGTCGCATCGTATCCATCGACGGCGCTGTAAAAGCTATTTGCAATCGTCTCACCGTTTGCGAGCTTTCCTCAAGAACTAGCAAGGATTTGGCCGAGCAATGCGTAAAAGTATTAGAACTGATTTGCACTCGTGAAGCAGGTGCCGTTTTCGAAGCCAATGGCCTCAGCAATATACTTCCTTTTATCAGAGATAATGGTAAAGTATAAGAAATATATTAATAATATTTCATTAATTTTGTATGTTGCAATGTTCAGGAAATCGTGTCCATAAAGATACTCTGCATTCATCCATGGCGGTAGTTTCACGTCTTTGCACAAAAATGGAACCAGCTGATTCTCAGTTGCCCACCTGCGTACAGGCTTTGAGTACATTATTACGGCATGAGGATTCTCATGTGGCAGATGGAGCGCTCCGGTGTTTCGCATCTGTTGCCGACAGGTTTACTAGACGTGGCGTGGATCCAGAACCTTTAGCGCAGCACGGTAAAACTCATGAAAACTCATTTATTTATATGTTTATTTACAAAATTTATACCAATTTACAGGTCTTGTGAACGAACTTTTGAACCGCCTTTCAAATGCAGCGGGTCCTTCCATAGCAACTGGGAATCAAGGAACTCCGGGCAAAGCATCCTCCACTACAAATGCTTCAGCTAGCATACCAGATCCAAAAGCAACAGCAGCTTCAGTTTCCACGATAATTAGTTTACTGTCAACTTTATGTAGGGGATCTCCTACTATTACATATGTAATTAACATTTTTCGTCATTCTTGTGGATAATTTTCACTAATAATTATTTCGTTGCAGGAATTATTGCGTTCAGAGCTACCGGATGCTATTGAAAAGTCCTTAAAAGGAGACGAACGTTGTGCATTGGATTCCATGCGACTGGTCGATTTGCTTTTAGTACTCTTGTTTGAAGGACGTAGAGCATTAGGGAAATCTGGCAGCGCATCTAGCACCAATCAATTATTGCCCCGCATTCGTCGTATGGATTCAGCTGCTGAAAAATCACACAGGCAATTGATTGACTGTATAAGGTCAAAAGACACTGACGCCTTAATTGAAGCAATTGAGGTCGGTGGCGTTGAAGTGAATTTTATGGACGATGTAGGACAGACTTTATTAAATTGGGCATCTGCTTTTGGGACTCAGGAAATGGTAGAGTACCTTTGTGATAAGGGTGCAGATGTAAATAAAGGTCAACGAAGTTCTTCTCTTCATTACGCTGCTTGCTTCGGGCGACCGGCGATTGCAAAAGTATTGCTTAGATATGGTGCAAACCCAGATCTAAGAGACGAAGATGGAAAGACACCTCTTGACAAAGCGAGGGAAAGGGTTGACGAAGGTATTCCTATCGATTTAAAAAAAAACTCGAAGTATTCTTTAACCGTAATTTCTATTTAGGACACAGGGAAGTAGCAGGGATACTTCAATCTCCAGGCGAATGGATGATTCCTTTGGATAAAGACCGTCAAAGAAAATCTGAGTGCGAAACTGAAGATATCGTTGAACCGCGCGGAGATCCTGATATGGCACCTATTTATTTACGGAGGCTGCTTCCTGTTTTCTGTTCAACCTTTCAAGCCACAATGCTGCCATCAGTTAGAAGAGCAAGTTTGGGTCTGATCAAAAAAATGATTCACTACATTCAGCCTGCCCTCCTAGAAGAACTTTGTTATCCTTCATGTACAAATCATTTTGGTACTCAGCTAGTTGAAGTCATTGGTATTGTTCTGGACAATGAGGTATGTTATTTTCATAATGCAAAATATGTATTAATTGAATCGATCGACTTGCATAACATTTTGATGTTAGTAATTTGCACGTCTGTTTACATCTATGTAGCTTAGTTTGACCCATTAATATTTCAGATTTATAACAAATCTATATCCTGCATTACCCATTCCAATTCAATAGTTTTTTTTTTGTTTTTATCCATGTGGCGCTCGTGGCTTGTGTTACCACTGTAACAGATTTGTTTACTGATTACAGATGCTACCAGAGAATTTGATTTTTTTTATATTTTTTATGTTTTAAATATGGACTCTATATTACGTAAATACCATCTTAGTTCCCTTTTATCTTATGTTAGCATTGGTGTTGCATTATGAGTCCGTAATTAAACCATTGTGTTAAGTAATTGTCATGCCTATGGAAGTATCTCGGATGTAAAGAGTGTTTATTGCAGATAAACTATAGCTGGCCGGCCGTCCGGTGTACCCCGTTGGGGGCTCTGGTTCGCCACGTTCGAGCGTCCCTGGTTAATGACAGGCACATTATACAGTCACAATCCATGGTTAGTTGTTTCCCATGCTCTATCCTTTCCACAGTTATCCAAATTAACCGTTTCTTATTGTTTCCAACTGTATACCGCTTATTAATTCCATATTTTGTTATTTTTTTGATATAATATCTGATAGGGAATAACAAGTTTATGATAATGCTCATTCGTATTATATTTTACGATTTATTTAAACATCATAGCTTTTTCTTTTTCTGCAAATATATATGTTACTTACGCGTATTTATTTAATAGGAAGATGAAGATGGCCATTTAGTGGTACTGGGAATTATTCAAGACCTAATGAGTAAAGCACAGGACATTTTCTTGTTTCATTTTGCTCGTCTGGGAATATTTTCCAAAGTGCAAGCTTTAGCAGGTCCACCAGAACTTGCAGGAAGCACCGAAGAGATCGAGGTTGTTCCTGAACAAGGTACATATTCAAATTTTATTTTTATGCACACACACTCTAATAAAGTACTTTCACAGAACCATCTGAATCGAATCAGTCTGTAGAAGATGCAAACGAAATTTTGCCAGGCAAGGCATATCACTGGCGCGATTGGTGTATATGTCGAGGACGCGACTGCCTTTACATCTGGTCTGATGCTGCAGCTTTGGAATTATCCAATGGATCCAATGGTTGGTTCCGTTTCATTCTCGATGGTAAATTGGCCACAATGTATTCGAGTGGTTCCCCCGAAGGTGGAGCAGACACTTCAGGTTAGTAGAAATGCAAATTCAAAGCATGATTATAGTTATTTTTTATTCGAATTGAAAATATTTTTTTATTTTATTTATCTTGTAAGTAAAACGCATCATGGATGAAAGTGTCTTGGCTCACCATTTATTTATTTTTATTTAAAAAAAAAAAGATTGATCTAAGGTTCTTCACGCAACTTTTAATTTAAAACCTCATTCCATTTATTTGCATGCTAGTTGCAGTTTATATGTTTGTCCCTGCAATTGGTATAAACTTGTATGTATGATGTCCGTTCTATCAAGGATTGCTAATTATGTTTTTTTTCTTATATATCTTTGTTTTCCCTTTTTTATTTTGCTCAGTTTATTTTATGTGTGATAACACAAGTGATTGTTGTTTTGTTTCTCTAATAGGCAAAAGTCGGGCCGCTGATTCCCATGCATCAGAAGGTAAGGGGCTTTTAAGAAAACATATATTTATTTTAATTTTATTTGACTCCTTACAAAACTCCTTGGTTTGGGGCTTATTCCAAAAGCTTGTTACTGTTCAATACAAACTGCAATAACTGTTCCAAATAGATTTATTAATTTTGTTTTTTGGGTACGACAATTAATAATAATTAACATAATTAATTTATTTTCTGTCATTTAGAGAATCGCGGGGAATTTTTGGAAAAGCTACAACGAGCGAGAGCAGCAGTTAAAAATACAACAAACTCGCAACCAATCCTTTCGAAACCTGGACTAGCACGTTTGGTTGTTGGAAATTGGTCCTTGATATCCCGAAAAGATTCAGAACTTCATATTCATAACTCTGATGGACAACAACAAGCTACTATTTTGAGAGAAGACCTTCCAGGTTTCATATTCGAATCTAATCGGGGTACGAAGCATTCATTCACCGCGGAAACTAGTTTAGGTAGTTGGTATTTAGATTATGTGATCATCAAATAATGAAATTTGTTTTTAGGGCCAGAATTTTCAGCGGGTTGGACGAATAAGCGTGGCAAAAGATTGAGATCTAAAACTGAAGCTACCAAACAGAAAGTTAAAAACCAAGCTTATGCATTGTATGAGCAGTACTTTAAGCAGGCACAAGCGCAGCCAAGAGGGGTTGTTGCGCAATTGGGAAATATAGTGGCTCAGATAGAAAGGGCATGTCAGAAGCAGTCTAGCTACGGTAACAACCGTGATGGAGAAAATTCATGGAGAGAAATATTGAGAAAAGCTTTAGATGAATTAACTCAAATTCTTAATGAGGAAGGTGTAGTTAGTGCATACGAACTTCACAGTTCAGGACTAGTCCAGACATTGCTGTCCCTTTTGTCAACTAATTATTGGGACCAAGGGTTGAAACTTAATAAAAGCAATAAACACCAAAAGCAAAGAGTGCAAGTATTTAAAAAATGTTTTGAAGAACAAATAAATGAGGGCCAGAATTCCACTGCCGTACTTGTACATAAATTAATTTCCGTTTTGGAAAGTATTGAAAAGTTACCCGTATATTTATATGATACACCAGGTTCTGGTTATGGTTTACAAATTCTTACTAGAAAATTGCGGTTCCGTTTAGAAAAGGCTCCCGGTGAAAGTACTTTGATCGATCGTACAGGCAGAGGTTTGAAAATGGAGCCATTGTCAACTGTATCGCAATTAGAAAGATACCTATTGAAGATGGTAGCTAAACAGTGGTATGACTTTGACCGCTCTACTTTCCAATATCTTAAGAAATTAAAAGAACATAAATACCACACTTTCAAACACTCGCATGACTTTGATGAAAACGGTGTTATATACTTTATTGGAACTAACGGAAAAACATGTTCAGAATGGGTGAATCCAGCTCAATATGGATTGGTAGTAGTTGCGAGTTCCGATGGTAGAAACCTGCCTTACGGTAGAGTCGAAGATATTCTTTCTCGAGAGAGTTCTGCATTGAATTGCCACACGAATGATGATAAGAGAAGTTGGTTTAGTATTGATTTGGGTCTGCATGTAATTCCGACTGCTTACACTTTAAGACATGCAAGGGGTTATGGTAGATCTGCCTTAAGGAATTGGTTATTCCAAATGTCAAAAGACGGTATACAGTGGGTGACTCTTTCTACTCACACCGAGGATACAATGCTTAATGAACCTGGATCAACTTGTACATGGAAGATATTGGTTCCTTCCGATGAATATCAAGGGTGGAGACACGTAAGAATTCAACAAGCGGGAAAAAATGCATCTGGTCAAACTCATTATTTAAGTTTATCTGGTTTCGAAATTTATGGTGAAATAGTCAGTGTATGCGACGATCTTGGAAAAGCAGCTAAAGAAGCAGATGCACACTTAAAGAAACAAAGAAAACTGTTGAAAGCTCAAATGCTGAAACATATTATGATGGGTGCTAAAGTTGTACGGGGAATGGATTGGAAATGGAGAGATCAAGATGGTAACCCACCTGGAGAAGGAACTGTAAATGGTGAATTACACAGTGGATGGATCGATGTTACTTGGGATCACGGAGGTTCCAATTCTTATCGTATGGGCGCTGAAGGAAAATACGATTTAAAATTAGCAGCTGGTTATGATGCAGATTTCGCACCACAAAAGAAAAAAGACATTAAAGACAAGCAAAGCGTATTAACTAGCCGCAAAAGTAGTTCGACTCCTAGTCTACCAGAAGCAACAGATGTAAAAACATCGGTAGCATCCACCGACCAAGCAGCATCTGCGGATAATCTAGCAGCAAAACAAGCTGCCGAAACAATTGCGGAGAGTGTTTTATCTGTTGCCCGAACAGAAGCGATTGTATCGGTGACAACTGAATCACAAGCTGCGAGCAACGATTCAGAGCTCTCTGTAGTAGTTCATCCACTGAGAGATCCTCATAATGACCTTTCGTCAATCAACAATTCGGTTTCTAGTGACTTGGCTACAATTGTAGAGAGTTTAACATTGTCCGACACTAAGCCTGTAAACACACATAGGAAGCATTACTGCGGTAGCGATGAAACACCAAATACGTCTGAAGCTCCTAAAATGGTTTCAAGCCTATCATCATCAAATCTTAATAAACCTCGTTCTAAACCTAGTCATGTGGCAGTAGCTGCTGCTCAAAGTCTTGTAGAAGCTTTAGATAGAATCCGTGAAGGTACAGACATTTTAAGAAATAATACAAATAATTTCTTATCCGGGGAATTACTTCAGTCTTTAAGTGGTAGTGGTCAGAATCCTTGTGCTATAAACTTATTACCAAATACGTTAAATCCTGCTGTCAGAATATCTCTGGATACTGATTCTAAGAGGAAATCAGAAGAGCCATGTGATGAATCTGTAACAAGTTCTAATAACGCTCGGAACAATCCAAATCCCATGAGTGTAAGTGTTCCGAACCTAACAACAGAAGCCGGAAATCAAATTGAACCATCTTCGACTGCTAGTTTGTTGGAAACCTTTGCAGCCTTCGCAAGAAGAAAGACTTTAGGATCTGTTTCAACTACAACGAATTCATCTAATTCGAACGCGAATAATACGTCTACAGGAGTTGCAAGTTCAAATGCACAAAATAATGCAAATGCAAACGCTATGTATCCCCGTGGACCTAATTCTATGTCAAGTTTAGTCCGACTTGCATTATCAAGTAATCTACCTGGTTTACTCAGTTCGGCCCAAAGTTATCCTAGTTTATCAACAAGCAATAACCCCCAATATGGAATACCCACTACAACGACAACCGCTCAGGGACTAGGACAAGCGCTTACAATGAGCCTTACTTCAACTAGTAGCGATAGCGAACAAGTAAATATCAGAAGCTCTATAAACAATTCAATCAATATTTAATTACTTATTATTTTAGGTTTCTTTAGAAGATTTTCTCGAGTCTTGCAAAGCGCCAGCGCACTTATTAGCAGAAATGGACGATGACGAAGATATGGCTGAAGATGATGAAAATGACGATGAAGAGAATGAAGATGATGCAGAGTTCGAAGAAGCAATGGTGTCGCACAATTTACTCTCATTTATGGAGGAAGAGGTTTATGAAACAAGATCAACAAAACGTCGTTCGTGGGATGATGAATATGTCTTGAAAAGACAATTCTCTGCACTTATTCCTGCATTCGATCCCAGGCCGGGACGTACAAATGTAAATCAAACAACTGATCTCGAAGTTCCAGTACCAGGTCAAGAGGATAGTGCTAGCAGTTCAGAATATGAACTAATACCGCAACCACGACTTCAATTAGTATTACGTGGTCCTAATCTACCGGGAATTCCAGACGTAGAAGTCGAGTTAAATGATCCAACTTGGACCATATTTAGGGCTGTGCAAGAATTGGTTCAACTAACTGAACTAGGCTCCCGTCAAGAAAAGTTAAGGAGAATCTGGGAACCAACCTATGTGTAAGTGCTAAATTAACATTATTTAAAAATGTGTGTTTTAATCTAAACTGTTGTAATGTTATTTTTATAGGATTGTATATAGAGAAATTAAGGATGACGTAAATAGCGAAGAGGAAGGCAGATCAACACCAGTTGTCACTTTGTTCTCGCGCAGTGGAAGTAGCTCAATAGCTGGTACTACTCTCTCGCCAAGTACTCCAGTTCCTGGTACGCCTTCGGTTTCAAGTTGTACAGTAGAAGATGTACTTCAATTGCTTCGCCACTTATTTGTTATCACAACATCGAAGGAGAGTGATCCAATAATAGATAGTCTGCTTACTGAAATAACTCCAGAAGAATTCAGTAGTAAGAAAATCACAAATAAACTGTTACAACAAATTCAGGATCCACTAGTGCTGTCCAGCTCAAGTTTACCAGTGTGGTGTGAAGAATTGAATCACTCTTGCCCATTTTTGTTTCCATTCGAAACGAGACAGTTATATTTCAATTGCACCGCATTCGGTGCTTCGCGTAGTATAGTTTGGCTACAAACTCAACGTGATGTTACAATCGAAAGGCAACGCACGCCAGGTTTGTCTCCAAGACGAGATGATCCACACGAGTTTCGAGTGGGAAGATTGAAGCACGAGAGAGTGAAAGTACCTAGAGGAGATACATTATTGGACTGGGCTGTTCAAGTTATGAAAATTCACTGCAATCGCAAGTCAATATTGGAAGTTGAATTCCAGGGAGAAGAAGGAACTGGATTAGGACCTACACTTGAATTCTATGCACTAGTTGCTGCAGAACTACAAAGACGTGATTTGGGAATGTGGATTTGCGATGATGATGAAGTATCGACAGAGAACATCGATTTGGGAGAAGGTGCTAAACCACCAGGTTATTACGTTCGTCGTCCGAACGGTCTATTTCCGGCCCCTCTGCCTCAAAACTCAGAAATTTGTGATAAGGCCGTCAAATACTTTTGGTTCCTGGGCGTATTTCTCGCCAAAGTGTTGCAAGACAATAGACTAGTTGATTTACCACTGTCACACAGTTTCCTTAAACTGATGTGTCATGGCGAAATACAAAACACAGTAAATGAAAGGATAGGCTATAAACGCAGTAACGACGAAGATATAATGACATCTAGTTTAATATCAGAAGAGAGCGAAAAGGAATTGGAGTTGGATCCACCAAAAGTTACGGTCGAAGATAAAAAGCCCTGGTATAGCGGTATACTTAATAACGAGGATATGTACGACATTGACGTTGTTCGCTCCGATTTTCTTAAACAAATACAAGAATTAGTAAAGCAGAAGCAAAAGATCATACAGGATCATACATTGTTACCGGAGACTAAAGCTCATCAGATACAAAATCTATGTATACATCATTCTTCAGGTCCAGTCATGCTAGAGGATTTAGCTTTGACATTTACATATTTACCTAGTTCCAGTGTGTTTGGTTTTAGTTCAGTAGAATTCGTTCCAAATGGTGCTGATATTGATGTGAATATTGAGAATATTGAAGAATACTCTGAACTCACCACTAGTTTTTGCCTTGAAAAAGGAATCGAGAGACAATTAGAGTCTTTTCATAAGGGCTTCAATACAGTGTTCCCGATGGAGAAATTGTCAGCATTTTGTCCGGATGAAATGCGAATTATGTTATGCGGCGATCAAAATCCTCAGTGGACAAAGGAAGATTTGCTGACATACACTGAGCCTAAATTAGGTTATACGAAGGATAGGTAAGAACTTTATTAATAGTGAAATTTGCGAACGATGTGTGTACTAATGATGTTGTTATCATTTTAGTCCCGGATTCTTGCGTTTCGTAAATGTACTTCTGGAAATGACACCGGAAGAACGAAAGGCTTTCCTACAATTCACAACTGGATGCAGTTCATTGCCTCCTGGAGGATTGGCGAATTTGTATCCGCGTTTAACAGTGGTGCGAAAAGTGGACGCAGGGGAGGGTTCATATCCTTCGGTGAACACTTGTGTGCACTATTTAAAATTGCCTGATTATCCTACAGAAGAAGTTCTTAGGGAAAGACTGCTAGCTGCTACCAAGGAGAAAGGATTCCATTTGAATTGAGTGTGCAGACAAATCGTAAATTATGTAAGATATTTTTGCTCTGAAATTAAGTTTGCGAATTTCAAAATCGGTAGGAATATTTGCAATTTAATTTCTAAATGTGATTCTCCTTGCTTTTCTGGGTTTGTTTCGGTTCAAAGATTTTGTGGCAAGTTGGGGAAAAAGAGAAATTTGTTTTTAGGAAAAAATTGTTCTCGTTTTTTTGTTTAATTAGGAAAATATTTACTTTTCTCTTACCGGCGCAGTGTCTATATTTACTAGGTCCAATTTATAAATATAAATATATTTTATTAAACAACATAACTCGTTTTCATGACAAGCTTGTAATTTCTCTTTCTTTTTTTTTTGTAGTAGTACTATTGATATATTCTTTTTTTGGACACTGGACTTGCACACACACACACACACATACACTCACATGCTATGACCAATTATTGTATGAGAGGAACTTTGTTTTAATTAGGAATAAATAAATTTTGCGTTTGCGAAATAACTCGAAAAGGTCTGATTATTTTCAATCTCTTAATTTCTGTTTGTTCATAATTATATAAATATATATATATATATATAACACTATTATTTGAGTTATTCATATGTTGGATTTGTGCGTTATATAATGATTTCGCTATATAATCTATATATATATATATAAAGCACTTTGGGTATGTATAAATATATTATGTACTTCATGTTATGATAATGATGATATCGTAATACATTTCAAAATATAACTATTCTTATTTTGTTTTTCTTTAAATCTTTCCAAAAAAAATAAAATAACAAAAATAACCTTTATAACGTCTGTATTTTTAATTCTAGACATAAATATGAATATTAACTATATTTAATTTTCATTTAATTAAACAGGATGAAAATCAATTTTCAACTTTGAATAAGCATCTTTTCACAGTTGTAACTAAAAGCCTTATCAGCCATTTAATGTTATTTTAGAGGATATAGAATTGAAGTAGATGGAGAAATTGAAAGTGATTTGTTCATTTATTAATAGAATTACGCATAGTCGCTTTTAATAGTAAATCTCTTTAATTTTTTTTAAGTGTAAGCTAATCTACTTGATATATTTAGACATTGCTACATTAAATTATATATTTTTTCGGCTAAGTAGTTACCGATTAGGAATGTTTTACGTCAGAAATATGTATGACGAGAATAAAACTAATCTTGTTTTCAAAAAATGATCTTTATAGCGTAATTGTATTAAAATATGTATTTTGATGGCAATGAAGTACAAAAGTTATAAAATGAACCAGTACTTTCAGAACAATGCAAAAAAAAATATGTGCTCAATTTGTAAAGAATATTATTTATTCGAGTATTATAACAATTTTAATTTTAATAGATGATCGTTCAAAGTAAACAGCATTAAAGATAATAGCAATGTAATAGTAAATAAACTATTATAACATTTTAGATATGAAAGTAACAAAAAGTGGGTTTGACAAAATAATCCGAGTATTTTATAAGAAATATTCCTCTATTATTGAGTACAATGTTAATTTTGAAATAAAATATAAATACATTAAAAAAAAACTATATTAAAACTTCATTCAAATTAACGAATTTAGACAAGGCAGTTAATCTCTACACAATGCCTAATAAAGTCAAAGAGTTCACAATGATTTTATTTGTTTATATGTCCGAAAATATTACAAGAATATGTAAATGCAAACACAAACATTATAAAAATTTATATCTATTGTTGCTTGCAATTATCTTTAGCGTTCTTGGCAATTTCGTTACAATCTTCATTATCATCATCATCTTCTTCCTCCATCTCCTCGCCATCCTCGTTATAATCATCTTCTTCATTTTCAATATCTTCACCAGTAAAATATAGAACAGCCCTCGGTACGATCCTTTCCCTAATGTAATGACCAATTTCGAAATCAGTCGTCAAGATCAATCTCAACTCCTCGTCGACGTCATCTTCGTTGACGTCTTCTGGAATAACTGGAGGCTCGAAGAAGTTGAAGAACGAATCATTGCGTACGGTCTTTGTGATTACTCGGACTACGCCCCTGCTCTTATGCTTTTGCTTCTTTTTCATTGTCTTCACTGTGACATTCATGCCCTTGTTCCAGTTGATTGTGCAACCTTTGCATTTGAAAATTTCAGGGCCCTCAAAACCAAACGGATCATCTGCTTCTGGTAAGCACTTCATATCGTATTCTTTAATAAGCACTGAATCAGTGAAGTATTCATTTGGAGCAAAATAAAACTCGAGAACGAAACCCTAGAACAAAACGAAAACGTTATACACACACATTTCAATAATACATTTGTTGATCTATCTTTAATGCTTACCATTGGGGATTCAATAAATTTAGTTTTTATGTCTGTTAAGTATTTCAAGATTGGTTCATCGTGTTCTTGCACCATCTCAGAAAGCAAATCCACGTTACGGAATATGGTGAGCCAGAAGTCTGGAATGCCCTTAACATCTTCCTCAACTTTAGGTGTTTCAGCCAAATTCGCTTTCTCCTCCAAATCCTTTGTTATTTCTTCTTCCTCATCTGACACCCAATCGCATTCATCATCTTTGGGCTCATATTCACCAGAGATGACAGTGTGCCTCTTCTCGTACAGAGGAGCGTACATCTTATGATACTTGCATTCGAGGGCATGAACTTCTTCGAAGAATTTAGCTTCAATGTTGATCTGCTCCAATTGAAGTTTCTTTAAGGCTTTGATGCGACGCTTCACAGGAGCTGGTAGAGCTGCCATCATCTCTTCGATAGCTGGTTTCTGTAGAGCATCCAACACACGTTGGAACTTCATGATGTCTTTAGAATCCTCCTCTTCGGCATACTCCAAATCCTCTGGGCAATCACCAACATGTTCATTTTCAGTTGCCATTTTCTGAAACAATAAATTGATTTAGCAACGGATTAGCAAGCGTACGAAACATCTGTTACAATTTAATTATCTTTTTCCTTAACAGAATTTTGTTTGACAATGAGATTTTATCGACATATAGCAAATATTAAACAAAGTTTTTAAAACAAAAGTCATGGCTACTACATAGCATAAACCCTTGTTTTCTATGAACAATCAATGCACATATATAAATAATGTCTATTAATTTTTTTTTCAACAGTTATTTGTTATTGGAAAATAACAATAAAAGTGTAAAAGGCGACTGACAAAAGAAAAAGTATTTTAAAAAATATTTAAAATTTTATATTAATGTTGTGACATTTAAATCTGTCACACACTCTAATTAATAGATAGATGCATCTAAGATGTAGTGAGATGAACGAACACATGAGATGATGATCTAGTTGATTTGGCAGATGGATGATGCGTATGTACGTACACTTGATGCGGCGGTGTCTTTTTAAAATAGATGCGAAATACACGACAAATTTGATATAGACACGTGCAGGATCCATAAAGGAAACATGAAAAAATGAACAGTCAAACAATTCTACCTATTTTCTGTTAGTCAATGGACATACACGATTTTGGTGTCGGCACGGAGAGCGTGGGACGTTCTCTCAAGAAAATGCGTTTCACTTACCGAATTTCTGTTAAAATATAAGGAGATGGTAGCAACAAAGAAGGTCGTTTGCTTACAGCGCCGCAGACAGACCAGAAAGAACGAATCCCGAGAACATTTCACAACATACAACTCACTTCCGAAGTGTCGCGCATGCGGATGCGCACCAATACACTATATACCTGAACGCTGAACAGACGTCCCAACTCGTCCACTGCACTAGTAAATTGTTTGCGATTTCAATGAACATAGTTCCAGTTTGAATTCTTCGTGCTCGCACACGCAAAACATAAATCGCGCGAAAAATAAAGTTGTATATATAAAAAAGAGAAATACAGAAGAGAGAAGAGTTGATCAAAGAACGGAAAGATCAGAAACGTGCAATCACAATTCGAATTCCAATTAGTGATCAACCGCAGCATTCATTCCAATACATTCATTCTAAATTTAAAAAAAACAGCAAACCGTCACCACTATGTTCTGTTTAGCAAAAATGAAAATAAGAAGTATTATAGCTCTATTCATTATAGGTTATATGATTGTACTTATGCGTAAGGTATCTTCATTTTCTTGTTACTAAAAAATTATTTACTAATCCATCATTGAATACACATTATCAGTAAACGTTTTTAGTATTTTTATTTGAACGGTTATTTCAATTCATAATTAATTTGAATCTTTCCGAATGTCGCCGAGTATCCATAATACTAACTACTATACTGTGCTTTCAAATATTTCATTTCATTTTCAAGTTGATCATTAGTCTCATCTTAAGTCAACAGCAGACACTAGAACTTGTCTGACAATATCCTATAATAATACTACTAAGTGAGCTAAATCTGAAATAATATTGTGATAACGAGAATCAACGGATATGAATATGAATACGCTAGAAACTGATAATGCTTGAATATTTATAAAATGTAAATACTTAAATTTATCTCAACAATTATTGTCTGTAATTATTGTCACACATAATATCATGCCAAATATATATTAAATCTTAAAATTCTAGAGAGGTCATGACCCTCATTCATGTCTACATTCAACTATAAACTTTATTCATACATATTAGAAAAGGAATTGTTACATAATCGTGATCCTGACCTTGTATCTTGAACTTGCATGTTAACACAAATATAGTAGATTGTTCTAAACAAATCAGTTGTAGATTTAAAAAAAAAGTACAATTTTAAAATATTATAATTACTAGTAATGAAATGAAAATCAAGTTTTATATGAAATATGTATTATGACGAATGCCGAATCTGACTTAGCTTTAGGTCATTGAATGTGATCAATATAATTGTAGATTAAATATGGAATACAATGGAAACAATTTGGAAATTAAAATAACTTATATAATTGGTATTCGTCGAATGAATTTCTAGCTAAGACTAAGTATAAAAAGGCGACTTTAGCCTGTGTTTCAAGCAATTCACAGACCACTCAACCATGTTCAATTAGTTAAATGGAGTAGTGTATGTCTGCTGACCTCATTTGCGGACGTATTGCTTAGCTTTTGAATATATATTATAAATAATTTATCAATCTATGAAATAATCTACCGCAAATCCTTTTAATGTAACTTGTAAATTCTAGTGTTATAGTTAAAACAAATTATTATAATTATTACAAAATGGATATTAATTTTTGTAATAAAATATGATTCATATATAAATATTTGTTGTTTATGATTCATTATACTTCTTGTATCATGATGGCAAACATCACTCATTGTGATTTATTTGGCAAATTTACATGTAAAATTGCACAAGGGACAAGATTGTCTCTTCGTCTCAAAAATGATACCATAAAGAAAAAATTAAATAAATTGAACATTGTTTTAGGCAATGATGACCACCGAAACAGAAGATCCAGTCATTATATGGTGGACACCATTCGTAATCAAGGACAGAATTATCGAATGTAACGATGTATTCAAATGCTTCGTGACATCTAACCGTGATCATGTCCACAATCCCAAAACGAAAGTAATTATATTTTGCATTTTAGCAAAAGTAAAATTTTTGCAATTTATTTGACTTCTTTATAGTTTTTGATGTTCTATGGGAGTAAATTCGATTTGCACAATTTACCGGACAACAGGGACCAACCGTGGGCGATATTTCACGAAGAATCGCCAAAAAATCTTGCCCTATTTATGGACAAACGCGTGCAGAATCTATTCGCAATCACATCGACGTTCAGTAGATTCAGTTCGTTTCCTCTGCCTCTGCAGTATTTGAAAGAAGTGTCCCTACTAATGTCCAAGCAATATCACAAGAAGACCTCCTTGAAAAACGCGATGCTTACAGAATTGGCTCCAGTATTTTACCTGCATTCCGATTGCGACACCCCGAGCGGAAGAGATATAATCGTTAAAGAGCTAATGAAGTACATCAAGGTGGATTCGTACGGACCTTGTTTGAACAACAAGAAGTTACCAGCAAAGTAAAAAACAAGAAATACAAAACATCAATTTGTTCTTGCATTTACTCTCACTCAGATATATTCAATAATAATGACGTTTTTAGATTCCATTTAAACGGGACTTATAACTTATACGAACCAGAATTTATGCATTTTGTATCGCGCTACAAGTTCGTATTGGCTATCGAGAATGCTCAATGTTTTGATTACATCACGGAAAAGTTATGGAGGCCGCTAATCGCTGGATCAGTACCGATTTACTTGGGATCATCTACAGTCAATGTATTTATTCGGTAGTGAATCTGCGAAAGCATTGACTTCTTGCAGCAGCTGCAATAGTCTATGCTTGCGCGGTGATTCTAATTGCTTGATGCATATTAAATGCAGATCATCTTGTAGAAATGTTAAAAATCACATCTATGGAATGCATTTCTTTGTAATCAAGTGATTCGTGTCCTTTTTTTTTGTTATTAATCTTTAATACCAATTATTCTTTTTTAAGGATTGGCTTCCCAACAATCATTCCATTATACACATGAGGGATTTTCCAGACTTAAAAGATTTGGCTAAGTTTATACTGAAGCTTAACCAGAACGATAAACTTTACGACAAATATCTAGAGCACAAAACTCATAACAAAGTCACGAATTTAAACTTAATGAGAACGCTTTCTCGAGGAGTCTACGGATACGAGAAGTACGGTGAAGAGTATGGAGTTAGTTCGTTCGAATGTTATGTATGCGAGAATGCTCACACCGACGACTATAAAAGATTGAATAAAAGCAAAGAATCAGTTTACGATTGTGAGGATCCACATGAAAAGAGTGATTGGCATCAAATGTGGTCGATGGGCAGAGAAGAGGCCGATGCGCTAGTCAATCGATATATACCTTAATTATATCGTTGAATATGTGTAAGATGCACTGCCTACGAACAAAACCTGTTAATAAATAATTAAATAAATATATACATGTATATATTTATTTACTTATTTAAAAAATATTATTTTGTACATCTAAACTATTCATCTTTATATATTACATTTATTAAATATAATACCTCCTATCCACCGAATCCTAAAATAATGTGTAAAGTAATTTTAAACAAATATTTTCTTGAGAAGTATGATATTTATATTAATATTTTTTCAAGTACACTTTTGGTATAGAATACACGTCAGTCTATTTTCTTGTATATATTGGTTTCCTTTCTATAGATAACATTCCATAACAGTATATTCAAAATATAACTCAAAAATTTTTCAATCCATTCATACCTAGGTCACGTGATACGCTACTATTATTATTATTGTTTTTACTATAAATCATTTGAAAACACTACCAAATAAATATAATATATATATATATCAAATAAAATTGCATAAAATTATAGAAGTTGAATAAAAATAGAATAAAATTATAATCTATACCACAATTCAGAACTGGAAGACATGACAATTTTTGTTTTGTTTTTAATACAAAAAAAAAAATTGCAATAGATCACGGGTTAAAGGATAATCATTAAAATTTTCTAAATAAATTATTGCAATCGGTCGTCGTTAATCTTTAGCTTTGCTCTTCTTTCCGAATCCGAACAATTTCCTTTTCTTCTTCTTGACATCGTCATCTACGACGGACGAATCGGTCGAGTACACGTCGTCTTCGGCGCAAGCAGTTTCTTTAATGACTTTCGGCTTCGCAGCTTGAGGCCGTGTATTCTCTAATAAGATTTCCCCTTGGACGGCTTTTGGTCTATAACTTATTTCGGAAATATTGGAATCGTGCGATTTTGACCTATTTATTGCACCTGTTGGTTTCGAACTGCTCACTATACTGTTATTGCTTACACTTCTAACTGATATATTTCGTGCCGCAACTGGAATTTCTTCACTAGAATCGTGAAAAATATTAGTTTTTGGTTTTATTACGATAACAATAATATGATTAACTGTTACCTTTCCGAGCCAACTATAAATTTTATTGGTTTTTCAGTCGTATCCTCTTCTTGTTTACTAGCTTCGCTTCCAGAAGAATCCACTTCTTTCCATTGAGTCTGATTGATCTCCATTGGTCCTACACAGATATGTTGATTGTTCTAAATAATAACTATCACACGTATAAATTTCTATATATAGATCAGTCTCTATGAATTACTACTATACCAATTACTATACTTTCAACGGATTACACAACAACAGTACTACAAAATCTATCAACTACAACGGATCATTACACACACATTCCCAAGCGAGTTATTTGAAGCGATGTATTCATATAATTGTCTCTTACCTTCTTACTTATTCTAATTGTATAGTGTATTAAAATTATATTGCTGCAACTAGTAACAAACAAAAACGTAATAAAATGAATATTGGATCACTCGAAAGGAAACAAAGTAATAAAATTATACATTCAATAATTATAAATGTTATTTTGAATTTAATGTGCTTTAATATTAATCGAAAAATAAAGACGAAAAATACAGGCAAAATGAATCCTAAACTTGAAACAACTCTTAGATGAAAATATAATAATTATAGATAATAAACTCTCACTATAAATACACTTTTTTTTTTAAATATATATAGATCTCTAATATTGTACATATTCATTAACTAATTTTGGCAATTGAATTAATTCTTTCTTAATTATTTAAAACTTGATATACCAAAACTTATAATTGTATCTATGAGTCGCTACTTATTATCAAACCACCTCATTTAACACAATTAAGAATGTAAAATGCAAATTATAAAAAAAACTATTAAGCAAATTATTATAATATATTAAATCAATCCGAATCGGGGAAAAGTAGAATCACTCTGAGTAATCGTGAGCTTCATCGTCAAAAGATAAGTTCTTACCTGCAGTTGTGTAAATAGAACTGGCTTCGTCATCTAAATCATCTTGACTACTCATTTTCCCTACAATGGCAATAATTTAATATTCAATCTTTAAAACTACTGTCTAAAATAACATGACATTGACTAGAAGTGTTAATATCAATATTCTACTAGAGACTTTAAACTGTGTGTTAGTAAAGAACAGAACATTAATTAGAAGAGAAAATAAGTGTTCAATTTACATTTACCTCTCAATGCAAATGCTCGCCCGTTCAAGTTTCTGTACAAGATACTTTCTAGATATTGCAGTCCGTTATTGCTAATTACGTTGAAGCCACAGAGTAATTCTACTTGCTTCCATCTGTGCGCTCTTTCTTGAAGTTCCTGAGTTACTTCACTTAGAGATGTTCTAGCTTCAACTATACTTCTATCCACCTCATCAATAGACTTGCCGTGCGTCGATACAAAAGCTCCAACTAAACTAGATCTTTTCTTCCGCAATTTTTCGCACTACAAATTCACATATTAATATTTGGACATTTACGTTGCGTTGCAATGAACGTACTGCTTCTCTTGCTTGCTGCAACTGTTTCTCTGCAGATATCTTCTTTTTGATATATGCTTTATTTTCTATTTCATGCGTTAACTGAAGCCATTGTTGAAGACCTGGCGGTGGTGACCAACACCTGTCCTTCAATTCACCTTCTGCTATTTGAAGTTCTGTTCTTAACATCTAATAAAATGAATAAATACATAACTTCTGATCAACAATAATGAAATGAATAAAATATAATACCTCGATTTCAGCTTTAAGTTCTGTAACTTCTAAATCAGAATTTGATTTGTGCAAATCTCGTTGTTCACTGGCAACGTTTTCTTTTGCTAACCTGGCTTCTTCCAACTCCTTTTGCAGCGTCTCCAGGCCTTCCAAATCTCTATTCATGCGATTAAATTTCCTTTTAAATTTGTTGTTCTGTTGCAAAGCATACCAGGAACCAATACCACCAATAATAATGAGGGTAATAAGTGTAAAATCTTTCCAATAATGTTGACTATCTTAAATAATATAGTTGGATATTAACTTTAAATATTTTTATATCAAATGATTTTGGTTGAGAGATATTAAGTAAAAATAAGTACCTTTAGGTGGCCCAAACAGAACAACATCCATTGCTTTCAATGAAATTTTCTGTTTATGAATTGGGTCCTTGATTCCAAGCATACTCAAGTAATGCATATTATTAGCAGCCAATCTACAATAACATTCTTGTACACATTGAAAAATACTAGTTTCGTGAAAATTACCTAGGTAAATTAGCACCTGTAACTCTATGCCTAATGAAATGATCAACATATTGAGGCAACTCCACACAAACAGTAAGCCAATCTGTAGTTTGTTCAATAGTCCAGTTGTGAACTTCTGACCTCAACCAGGCCTCCCACAATTCCTTAACTGATATATGCATATCATCATTAAAATGGAAGACTTTTTGTCTCTTTTCATACCCTGAATCCAGCTTCAAATCCTCCCTTAAAAACTACAACAACAAACAACAAAAAAGGTGATTTTCGTATTGGATTTCAGTCAGCTTACATCTCCAGTTTCTGACAGATCTATATTTCCATTAGCATCATCATCCAACTGCTGATGCAAAGCCCTAATAGCTTCTAATCCCAGCTTATCATTGGAAGCCATTGCTAAGCAAGTGAAGTCATCGTTATTGCAAGTTTCATGTAAATCTACAATAGAATTCATATGTTATATATATTCGAGTCCCAGTGTTAACAGTAAATACATTCACTTACTTTCATTATTGACTGCCTGATTAATTGACTCACTGAGCATAGTGTAAGTACTTTTCTCCCTGTTCATCCGATATTTGTTTTCATTATCGTTCTTCAGTTTATCGGGTTCATCTTTAGTTGTGTGACCATTGCACCAGTAAATTGTAAAAATTAACCAAAATATCAAACGGTTGCTATTCATTTTGAGCATAGATTTCCTTCCACTATAACCTCAAACTTCCCAATATAAATATATTACGACAAAAAAAAAACAGAAAACGAAAACACTCTTCATAACATAATAATAATACTGATCTCAGGGATTTACATTATTTTGACATTTGCTAATGCGGATGATAGAAAAGCAACCGGGATTTACGATTACAACTATTTCGAACAGCTCGATTCTCAAGGTTGCCGACTACTTTAATTTAATTCTTCTTCTTTTTGGTCGCTGATGACAAACTTATCGAAAAGAAATCACCAATTCTACAATACTAATTTCAATTCCAAATAACGTTTTTAAAACACTACACGTTACCAGCAAAATATTTAACAATTTCTAAATAATATACTGTTGCTGTATTTATGTTTGTAGCAAATATTGTATCTAGATATAAAACCATATAAAATCTACTACGTATACAATTTAAATATAAAACACAAATAAAAGATAATTTTTAAACACTAATGCGCGTGTGGTTGCGTATCTGTAATTAACCACAAACTAAAGTAATTATCTAAAAATCACTGATAATTTCATTTTATTATTCAGAGAACACTATAAATTGCTTATCAACATTACTACTGCTCAAATAATTGTTTTCATGTATTGCTGCATTCTCAATTGTAATTAATTCATTAACGTATAAGTCGAGGTTAATTTAAACATTGGATTCATGTCCTTCTATGAATCAAGCAGCTATATTTGATTTATGTTACTCATTCCAAGGCTTACTACAAAAAAAAAACAATCCAATGATTTTATAAAAGTATATCATCCTAATAGTATTTCTATTCTATAAGATCATTAGAACATTTTTATTATAAGAAAATCTGACTTCTGTATTCTTATAATATTTTACAAACTCTTGATAAAGTATGGTAAATCGGATCATTTATAAAAAATAGGGTAGATGAATTCCCAACATCCGGCACAAAATGTTTGAATTTCACTATGAAGCGCACTTGAAGAATTATAAAACACGGAGAGGTGGCAACCCTACAAGTATGTAGTTATGGAAACGAATAAACGGATATGAATCAAACGATAATTATATTGTATGAAAGTAACTTATGGAAACGATGAAACAAAAATAACAATTTTGAGTGTCACGTCCATTTTACAAAGTTATTATAAACACAGCATGTCTACGGCAAGCAGTGAATCCGAACGAGGACCGAGCGCCGATTCAAAACGAAGCCTGAAAATTAAAAAAGTTAGAAAGCAAACTAAGTTACCATCAGAAACCCTGAAGAAGGAAATTGCAGACAATTGCAACATTCTAGAAAATTTGCTGAGCAGCGAAGAATCGGATGGAAACATCAGCAGTTCGGAATATTCCGAAGACGATCTGTTGAAGAACGAGGAGAACGAAGAATTTATATTGGATTTCAATTTGATCAGTAATGCTCTGCAGAAGACGCAAATTGAAAGTAAACCGGCGTACGATGTCGAGTTGCGAGAAATCGAGCGCAAAAATAACATTCTGATGCAGAAAATATTGAGGCACAGCAAGAGACCGAGCCAATACAAGTTGGCACCGCAACATTCGAAAGTTTCCAACAGTCTGGTGAACAGGAAGAAGCAGCAGCAGAAAATCGAGAAAGACAATTTAGTGAGTTTGGAAACAGATCAGCAATTAATGATAATAATAATAAGATAAATTAATCTTGTTGCGTATTTTCAGATCCTCTTAAAGAAAATAAAGAGCGTCAAACCGTTTGGTCTGAGCGTCGCAAAGAAATAGCGGATGTATAATAAATTAGATATTTATTCATATATTTTACAAATTTTTTAAATATATTTTAATCTCATATAAAAAAAAACCTCATTAATTGGGGGGGATTCAGTACATCTGTTATGGAATAAATGAATTAGAGATTGTGACCAATCGATGTGAGATGATTAATAATAGATTTAGTAATAGGTTTAGAACGAAATATTGCTACGACAAAAACCGATAAACAAAACCTAACTGACATATTAACAATTATAACAAATCATACAAGATAAATAACAAACAAGCAGAATATATAATGTATTCGTAAATATGTTAATAAAATAAATGTTGTAAACGTACAAATATAAACAAATTCGTCAGAACATTTTTTTCAATATAATAATAAACTCATATTTCATGATAATTACGTATTCCTTCCTGTCTCTCGCTCAATTAAACACTTCCTTTTTTCTTTTACAAAAATATTCTCAATTTCATTCACTCCTCGTTTTTTTTTTCTTTCTTCCTTCTTTCTTTAAACATCACATCAATATATGAGCAAAATGTACATATTAATAAAAAAATATATTATAATATTTATGTTGTTACGATATGTACTTATAATAATAAAACAAAGACCATAATGTAAGGCACTAGTAAAAATTTTATTTTTTTTT